TGACTTTCTTTGCATTCTAGGAAAAAAAACAATTAGTATTCTCGGGGAAGAGAGATGCTTAATGTTGACTTGGTATTTTATTTTGACACAGTTTAAATCCTGTTTCAAGAATGTCAGAAAAGGGTATTTGTGGATGCCCCATCCCTGGAGGTGCTCAAGGCCAGGCAGGATGGTGACCTGGGCAGCCTGATCTGGTGTGGGGCAACCAGTCCAACAGCAGGGGATTGGAATAGTTATAGATAGTTATGGTCCCTTCCAATCCAAGCCATTTTATGATTCGGTGATCCCTGAATGTAAGCTCTAAGCAGGCTGAGTATTGTGCCTAATTACAGCTCTGGCTGGCATAGTGTGTATGCACCTGAGACTTCCCACCTGAATTTGTCCTAGCTGGTCCCAGCTGTTAGTACCAGGCTGCTGGAGGACAGAGGTGCCCGTGGCAGGAAGGCAATCTACCTTACCACACTACACAGAGGGCTTCTGCTTCTGAATCTCCTCTGAGCACCCATCCCTTGCACCCTGCTCAGCAGCTAACCCAGAACAGCTGAGCTGCCCTCTGAAACTAGTGCAGCTGGTGGAGCTCCATGTCTAGATGGTTAGGTGATATGCTGATACTCTGCTTCATTTAAGGTTGAGGTTTTAATTAAGCAGCCACATTAGTGTACACACACCAGTCAAACAACCCTTGGCAAGAGCCTTGTGGTGTGAGTAGGGGCTCCTATGGAGGAAATGCCATGTAATAAACGAATTTGCTGTCCAAAAAAAATAGCATTTTCTGCAATACTGTACACAGCAAGGTAATGAAAAACTATATTCCTTGCAGAACTGATGTCTTATCTTGTTCCCTCCTTTGAAAATAGGAGAAAAATCAAGAAATAGTCAACACAGCTAGGCTTTTCTTTTTGTTTACTTGGAAAATTTGTTTTAACCATCAACTTTAGCAAATTTTGGCAGTTACAAACCTGTACACTTTTTTTTGTTTGTTTGTTTGTTTTGTTTTTATAGCAAAAGAACACAAGACAATACTGCCAACAGCAATTATGAAGGAACAATTAGTTTTTGGATGAGGGACTATACCCACCTAAAGTGATAAACCTTCCCTTTCGCATAAGGTTGAATTTGTTGTCATTGGAGAAATGACATCTCTTAATGCCTACTTGAAATGGCACAGAATTCATATCTCTTGAGTATTTTTGTGCAAAACACATTTCATTTAAAAAAAGTCAATAAAAAACGTCTTAAGAACAGAAAAAGTTTAACAAAAAGAGCTGAACCAAAGAGTTACAGTACATTGTGAAATGATTAAAAAGTACCACTGTTCAAATCTAAAACTTTTTTTTTTTTCTCTGTTACTCAAAAGTTTAAATCAACTTTGATGACTCTTCAAAATGACATCAAACAAACAAACAAAGGAACAAAAATTAAAGCGACCTGATTGGCATCAAATATCTACAAAAGCCTGGTAATTTGAAACCATTATATACATTATTTTATAAACTTCTTTTTAAACACCAAAACATACATCTTTTACAAACCAGCCTGCTTGCAACAGGTAAAATTTACAAGACAATCTTTTCCGATACAGTGCTTTAAAGAGAACTGCTTTCACTCATAAACATCTTTGTCACCTCCTGAAAAGTGGCAGTATGGGCTCATTGCATTGTTAAATAACAGCCATTCAGGTATTTCTATGACAGAAGAATGCTACAGTTCCGAGGGCTCTGATCTCTTTCCATAGTACAGTTCAAATGCACTCTTAACACTGGTAAAGATTACTTATGGCCTTTGTGTAATACGACACATTTGTAGTTATTGCTTTTTATTATTACAGAATGAAATGAACTTAATTTCATTTCTTCCCCACCCGCCCATCCCTTGGATGATGCAGCTGATTTACTAACTGAATGCCCCTTCTGGTAATGGAGATGTTAAATGTCAAGTTCATGAAGCACGGATTAATGGCCATGGACAATGAGCAACACTCTCAATTGCTAAGGCTCAATTCACAGTTTGGAGTATTGATGGAAAGAGGCAAAAAGCAGTTTTACTACATGATGAATGGCGGTAAACCATCAGAGAATGAACCTGAAAATATAACTCTCTCTTTGGAAGCCTATAAAATGTCCATTATTACTCGGTTAATAGCTCCAAAAAACACCAACAGAGCACAGATGTACATTCACTACTGGCTCTAAATAGCTGTTTTTCTCCATTATTGATCACATTACCTTTTCAAATGAAACTTAGAAAAACTGGTCCAGGGCACCTTCAACCCTCCCACGTTTGCATTTATTAAGGGCACACTACAGCATTCCTTTAGTTTTTCTAACAGGAACTTGATGAGGAGTAAATCATGTTTTTAGCCACTTGTCCTGTGATACATTTCTTTTCATAATGAATGTTTAATTGAGCCAACAGCAACAATTTTTATGCCACATTCTTGAAGCTTACCACTTGCCTGGCTCTGAGCAAACAGGCTACTGCCTCTCTCTTAATCAGCATTTCAGTGGCATGCATTGTACACCCTGTACTGCATCCATGTAGCACCCTGTGCTGCATCCAGGCTGAGTTTCTGAGGTACAGATGCATGAAAACCAGCACTGCTTCAGACTTCGCTAGAGAAATCATTTAAGATTATGAAATCTCTCCTCATAGCTGATCCTGAAAGAAGATAGCGTGTAGTGGAGCCATCTACAGGAACATAAACTGAAATACAGATAGGACCAAGGCCAATCAGATCAGCAGAGATGGCAAGGGAAGCTGCAACAAAAGCAGGGAGCTGGGAATGACAACAGCAGCAACATAAATTTGCTGCATATGGCAGAAAAATAAATACATATTGGATGGAACAAGGTGAACACTAATTCTTATATTAGATTGGGAGGGTTGTTATCTTCCAGAAATTTAGGGCTTCTCCATGTAGAGCAGTAGTAAAAAGGATAATAAAATGGTTTGGATTAACAAGAGAGATGTTAATGCAAAAGTCTTACTCCCTAAGAAATATTTCACTTTGATCTCTGCATTCAGGTCTTATCACCATCAAAAAGAGCCAGAACAGAACCAGACAGGCCACAGAAGTACCAATATCCACAGAGGGGCATTTGCTTGAATATAGAACAATCAGGTTGGGAGTACTTCATTCGAAGGGGAGGAGATACTGAGGTATAGAAAGCATGAGTGGGACAGAGAACGATGAATGGCCGATCCTTGGCACCTTCCCCACAGCACTTTAATAAGTCGGTGTTCAGTGAAATGCAAAGGCAACAACATCAAAACAGAAAAAGTACTATACATTGTATTTATGCATATTTTACTAGTAAAATTCACTACCAACAAGATATTACTGAGGCAACAAGCTTGGTAAGAAACACTGATCTTTTCTGTATGGCAGCTGCTAAGCTTCTGTGGTGCTCTCCCTTGGGACACTTTTGATATGTCCCAGCACAGTTTTGATATCAGTGTCTTGGGCTTACTGCAGAAGAATGATGATAAGAACACTTCATAAATAACTGGGGGCTAAAAGAGAATTAATTGCATGACAGATAAAAATGTCTCACACCAAAACTGAGTAGGAGCAAAACCTCATGTAAGCTACAAGCAGATGTTGAAAGAGTACCAAGCTCTCAAAAACATTATGCCACCTTTAAAATTACTTGGTGACAACTAAACTTCCAGCTTTGCTTTTTCACTCAGTTGTTCCTAACCTTGAAGAGATACCAATCTAATTCTTGCATCTGCTTTTCTGCAACACTGACTTGATGAGCAATGCACATCATCCTCTGTCTGCGCTTTGAGGCTTGCCAAACCACTTCATAGCTCATTGGCAAATCACAGAATCCCTCAGTTCTTGTGATACAAATTTCCATTATTTTTTCTTGAAAATGAGAGGGAAAGAGAGGTGAAATGTACTGTGAGCACATTCAGAATATAACACTGCTACAGAAGCATGTTCACTTTGAGAAGACCAAGTGACATTCATAAATTCAATGGACACGAACTATTGGCAGACAAGTACTTGACAATACTTGTACGTGCAGTATGTGGTCCTTCCAAAAGCTCACTCAATTCACAGACCTGTATAATAAGCTGTTTTCCAATAAAGAGTCACTGCATGTCATACCTGCTTCTAAGAATTTTAGAAATCCCGTTTTATTAAAAGTGTTACAAGCTGTAATTACTTCAATTATATTCTATTAACGATTTCTTTTTGCTGGGGGTGATTTGTGAATAAAAAAACCCACAACTTAATTCTGTGTGAAACTCCGCTCAGTCAAAAACACATCCGAGAACACAACTGCTGAAACCATTCCATTAACGTGTTTGAACAAGAGGCAGGATATGGAAAGTGGCATAAGAAATCTGTTAATGAATCTATTCATTAATAACAAGGACACGCATTCAACAGCTTTTCAAAATGACTGAGTGATGCCATGGCAGGAATGGATGAATGTCCAGCAGTAATGCAGACTACAGACTCACATTCATTGTACAAGGTATAAAGATGATGTAAAAAGCAGCAGTTAAACATTTTCTGCACTGAGCAATGGGTATGTATACACTGAGTGCAAATCCACATTTCCATGTTGCACTGGGCTGTTCAGGCCAATCACTGCGAAAGGCCATTTACTCCAACCAGGCTGAGGGAAGCGTAAGATCACAGTAATGCTGCCGCTGTCTTCATTCCACAATGACATCCTGCTGTCTGCAAACAGCCTTTGGAAATTCTCAAATCCTGTGAAATCACATGGACATCCAGCAGCAAATCTACAGTCAGATTCCTTGTACGACCCATCCGTGCAGTTCCACCAACTGATCAGTTTGCAGCAGCTGAGAGCTCTTCCCATAAATACTATGGATGGACATTTGCCAAATGATGTTAAACTAACAATCTGAGATGATAGCAATGTTTTATGCAACTTAATTGCAACTAATTTTACTGCAATAATTCCAGCATGATGACTGCTGCTGAAGAAGAAATTGCCCAAAGAAAGAATTAAAAAAAAAAAACCAACATCCGTGTTACACAGATACCCTAGGTTTCCAACTGCTTTCAGATCCATGTTCACACGTCATGCAGCAGTCAAGGGAAGTTCTCACCAGTGAAGTTGTACACATATGTCTGACACCGTGTTGAAAAATGGCAACCAAAGTGGGCTGATTTAGAGGGAATATATGCTGTACATGCGTTGCTGTATATGTGCATGAAGTAGAATGAAATATTATGTAACAAAGGAAACCGTAGACAAATATTTATGGACAAATGACTATCTCTGATATGTCAATTTGTAAATGCTGTTCTTTAAGCCATCTGATGTGATGTACATAGCAGCCTCAGCGATCAATTGCTTTCACTCTTTCACTGACAATATTTCATGCAACATTGCCTCTTGGAATCATCCATACCAGTTCTTTAATACTGTAGGAAGAACATAACACTGTAACACTTTTAATAATACAACAACGACAAAAAAAAAAAAACAACCCCAAACCCTAGGTGGAGGTGGGAGGGAGAAAAAGAATTTATTCAGCAATGAGATCATTTTCCCCTTCCTCATAAGTTTTACTCTTGTAATAAATAGAAGGTACACACTCACCCGATTGTCTGTAACAATTTTGTAATGTGTAATACTTAACACAATTGGTCTCTTCATGTCTGCACATACAATACCATTTCTGAACAAGTTAATAATGGGTTATACTGTGTTTTTGCATTGCCCAATATATATAGATACACCTTCAGCAAAATTTCTTCTCAATATTTATACTATTAATTGGATCAAATGACAAAAAAAAAAAGAAGAAAAAAAAAGAGGAAGAAGAGAAAGAAGAAGGGAGCTTCCTTTTACACTTGTGTCTGATGCTGGGTCTCCACAAATGGAATGTGCACATTTTCTAGTTTGAGTTCCTCCACGCTTTCAAAGTCACTCATGGCTACTTCGGAGTCATCAAAGCCGCAGCTGGCTGAGACGTCAGAGGAGGAGGCATCTAGAGAGTTGTGCAAGGTTAAGGGCATCTTACCTGCACTAACGTTTTCTGTGTTCTGACTTGGGCCAACAGCAAAAGTACTAAACTCATTCCCAGTCTGAGCCCCTGTGGTGTCTGTCTCATGGGGGAACTGGTGAGGAGGGAGGTATTGGCTGGGGTGGAAGTGCGGCCGTCGCCGGCAGTCGGGGCTGAGAGTATTTGCCATCGAGACCGGCTGTGAGGGCGGGAGGGTTTCGTACTGGTCTGGGTAATCCTCTGGAAGAGGAGGTGGTAACTGGTCCTGGCTCAGAAACTCCTCTTCGTGAGGGGGTGGGTAGTCGCTGTCGATGTCGTAGCCACCAAGATAGTAATCCGTCTCCAGCTCTCTGGTGCTGCCGTGATGAGCCGAGCCTCCGTCCGCCGTTTCAAAATTGGGCACTTCCTCTATGTCAGATAAACGAGCACTTGGCATCCAGTCTGAGGTATCCCAATGGTACGCTGGAAAGAGAATCACAGCAGTGAGGACAGGGCCGCTAATGACCAGGGGCGACCGGCATGCACTCGCTAAAGAGCAAACTCTTAATCCTAAATACACATTTAAGTCACAGCATGCGTCAGAGGCTGTCTGCATGGGTCAGCCATGCTCTGACCCAATGGATAGGACAGAAGGACTACACGGTATGGCGATGCAATTGCAAACAAGCAAAGAAACAAACCACGGCCACTCAAAGGCAGTTCACGTTGCAGGATGCTACTAGGTTGCATTAGAAACTATGAAGCTGAGAAATCAAAATGACAAAAATCTCTGAAACAATGCTTTTCAAAGTTAATTGAAGAAATACATAAAGGAAGTCAGCATGCTTATGGTATCATATCTAAACTCCCCTTCCACCTCCAGTGGCTTTGTTTCAAGAAAGTGTGTAGGCAAACAATCTGATCGACTGAGAGACTAAGAACTGGATCCTGAAATAACGAAGTGGCTGGCCATTCTCATGCAGCATTTGCAACCCAACAGAATTCAAACAAAAGAGGACACGGGAAACAGTAAAAGAAAAACAGACCAAGTCAGTGCCCTCCCACCCTAGCACAGTCCAACAGGCAGAAAGGGTCCCCAAAAAATCACCTCTGTTGTAGTTCTGTCCTTGGTCCATGACAGACACTGCCAGATACAAAGTGAAAAGTAAAAGCTGGTAACTAGGAGCTTGTTACCAGCATGGACTTACATGTGAAAATATAAAGCTCTGCATGCATATTTCTAAAGTACAGCTGGCTCAGTGTTGTTTTAATAGGATTTTAAATTGTTCCTTATTTTAACATACAAGATAAGCTTGCCCAGTCAAATGCAGACATACATAAAGAAATGATTATGTCATGTGCATCATATTCCTATTCTATCATATCTTAACTATTTACCCTCACTGAACAGATATGAAATTACATTAGAGCTGGAATTCTTAGTACAAAAAGGGCTATCCACCATCTGTATGGTTTATAATTGCAAAGTACATTTTTCTTTCACTTGTTCACTTTGAAACAGAAAAATAAGAATCTACCATTCTCAGGGCCGGTTCAAACAAATCTGGGCCCACCTGGGCTCAGATACCATGGTGATGGGCACGGTATAAGAACCTGAATAGAATAGAATACAAAGCCATTTAATGGGGCCATCAACTACAATGCTCCGCAACCCCATACCCACCTCCCACCTGCACTGCCATGCTAGCTGGTGGGGAGGGAGGCATTCCAGTATGGAGAGGGTGCAGGGGTTGGGGAGAGAGCAGGGGAAGAGGTTCCATGTGAGAAAAGAGCAGGGAAAAAGCTGCAGCGCTTACTAGATGAGATGGTTCTTGTTCAACCACATGTTATTTGGCTTCATGCAAGAACTGACTGGACGAGGTCTCTGGACTGCATCGCTGGAGGAGGCCTGTCCAGAAGAACTGCCTTTCATGGCACGACAGGGTTTCCTCTCTTGGGCTCAGCCACAAAAGAGGGCAGAGCAGACAATTCTCCAGGCCTCCATCTATTAACACCACTCATGACCTGGTTTATCATCACATAAGCCATGTGATGATGGTGATTTATTTGTTAGCTCATTAGCCAGATAGTGGCATTCTGCCTGCTCTGCATTAGCCTGGGCTGAGTAGGGCTCCGGCTACTGCAGCTTTAGCAGCACTGTCTGAACCGGCCCTAACCACTCTTCTCCTTTCCTCTAATTTCTCATAGTGGACGCTGCTGACTTTCAGAATAATGACATTGCCCCTGAGATGCGCCTGGTCCCTCCAAGCTGCATGACTTCAGGATCCAGGAGAACCTCACTAATACTGACCTGCAACACCTGCAGAGCTGCATGGGGAAGGAGCTCTGTTCCCTCCCGTGGCAGCCATTCTGCACCCATTATTGCTGCACAGCTTGTGAAAATAATGACTCTCAGAGAAGGGACTGGGAAGTGGGCAAAGCACTTTGAGTGACAGCCTTTTGAAAGCACTGCCAAGCTGGCTTTTTATGACCTGTGAAGCATGATAGGAAGCCAGTGTGTTTGCTTATGTTTTCCATTAGGAAGACGGGGCCAATTACAGCGACTGTGCTTTCTTTTCAGGGGTATTTTCTTTTTTTCTTTTTCTTTTTCTTTTTCTTTTTCTTTTTCTTTTTTTTTAATGATTAGAACTAACTTTCTGAGTTAACCTTGGGTAGTTCTTTCTATGAAGTAGCAAGTAGAATGGCCATCTTACACTTCAGAAAATCAGTAAATATACTATAGACTATATTTTGGACTTTGAGGTTAGCTGGACTTGAGTCAACATTTTCCCAAAGTGAGGACATATGTTGTATAAATAAATAAAACAAATACTTATCTTTGTTATATCACATTTCCTCAGTGCTTTGTTGGAGAACCAAATTGTAATGTAAGGAAATTAGTTCACTTGTAGTGAAATGGGTCTAAGATTACACAGAGGTCAATGGCAGAGCTGTATGATGGGCCCTCGGACCCAGTGCCACATTCTGTTCAGTACACACATGAAGCCCAAGGGAAAAGCAGTGGTGGCCAGGCTGCCTTGCTCCATGGGATGAAGGGAGCTGTGTCTGTACATCATCTATTTGATGTTATTACCTGGGAGAAACCAGCTACCTGCCCACCACCACTTTGTTGCCCTCCGTATAGTCCCAATGGAGTGTGTAATCCAGTTTAATCACAGTTTGGGATACTTTACAGATACCTTTTGGCATCTTCTGCTTCACATCCTCTGCAGATAGGATAATCTCAGTGATTTGGCTTCATTGTCAACCTCATCCTACGCTCTCTGAAGGCTATGGCAATTAGGCAAACGAGAGATGATGATGGCCTTGATACCTTTTCTACCACTTCCAGTTACCCAAAGATATCTTGTAGAACACCCTTTTAGGTTTGCTGGTGAACATGCTGATTTGCAAATCCCAATCCCCACTGCAGGTTTGCTGGTTGGTTTAGATTAGTGAGGTTCTGCTGGAATGTTTCACAATGAAAACAAGAAGCATTGTTGCATAACAAGAAAGAAAAAAAATTAAATACCTTCATTTTCTATAGTGTCAACTACATTGTTGACAAGCTGTATGACAGTCACTATGGAAGCTTGCAGGGGAGGGAAAGCAGAAAATAAAGGGAGGGGAAGGACAGCTTCAGGTTAGTATTTAAAACATACGTCATGTTACCACAATAAATTCTCTCAAACAGACAGAACTGACATTGAAAAAAAAAAAAAGGCTGCTGACCAATGCATGATTTATGCAGTGGATTGCAGGACACTTCATTTCAGATAATCCCATACATTTTCAGAGTGGAGATAAATTCCAAACCAACATTTCCAAAAAGGCGTATGGCATGATGTGTATCACCTCATGAATTCAAACAGACTGGCCAGCTGATTCAATTAACCACAGCAGTATCTTGTCTACCTGACACTAATTTCTAATTCATTTTTACTTAAAGGTCTCCAGAGATCATGGTATGTGCTCCAAGGAATCATCATCCTCATGCCACCACACCATCTGAAAGGTGCTGGGCTTCATCTATTTCCTAAGAGGAATGTTTTACTTATAATTTACTTACATGCTGTGCAATGCAGTATCTCTGGGACATTAAGAAGCACTGCTATAATTAGAAGGACAGAGTCAAATAGGTTTGGTTCAAATTTTGACTTTTGCTTGACAGAATATTTTCACAAATGCCTCGTGTGTCCTCTGCAGCTATTTTACAAAATATACTTTTCCCTTGAAATAATCTGTATTGACCAAACAATCTTCTGACACGGAATAAAACAGTGGCACAGTGTATGATATTGTAGGTGATTTTGGACAAAGTAACACCCTTGCCTTTGACTACTTGAGATAAAACCCAGTGAAAACAGAGGGAGAGCTCCCTTTAAATTCAGTTGGTACTGGCTTTTCTGCTCTCTTAATTTCAAGAAAACTCTGACTGCTTTGGAGCAGGCTAAGAAGGCAACCAGAAATGTTGGGCAGGAAATAACATTTTTGTTTCACACAGTCAATAGACTTACAGGTCACAAAAAGCACGTTAACAGTGATAGCACTTTTCACTCTACATTTAACATTCAGAGGGCACTTGAATTTTGGGCACAGGATCAAGAATCTCATCCAATTTCCTCAGTCCTTGTGAAAGCTTGGCAAAAATTCTTGATGAGCCAAAGGAACCATATTCTGTCTTTGACTATGTTTATGGCATCAGTGGCACTGGTAATTGTATAAACAAAGGAGGCTCGTATTGGCTAATGCATAACAAACATCATGGAAAACTAAATGGCACCATGTAAGTAGTTTCTGTGTGGGTAGAAAAAGAGGTTGAGGGTGGCTGAAAAATGCAAGAGAAGCCTCATCAGAGCTATGGGAACCCCTGTCTTGGCAGTAGGTCCATAGTATGCAGCCCCATACCATTCCTGGCTTCTTCACATGCTGCTGGTGTGAGCGAGACATGACAGGGAAGGGCTGGAGACAAAAAGAACCCCACCAAGAAGGTCTGTCCATCCCTCCACTACTGAGAATGTCAGCCAGATGGGAACGGGTAATGAGAAAAGAAAGAACAGTGCTGCTGCCAGAGATCTGGGAGTCTTGGGCAACACAGACTGGAAACATGAGGTCAGAAACAGGGCAGTATAAGTTTTCATGGCAGATATGGGCTGTCTCTGGTGAGAGCTGTGAGGAGCATTTTCACAGAAGGGAGGGAAACTTCTACCCCAGGCAGTTCAGTGCATGAGAACACCCAAATCCAGCACTGCCCAGGGGTAGAAAATTGGCATCATAAACAGTATTCCCTTGGACTACCCCGCACAATCAGCAATTCACTGGCAGTGAAGTGATAACCCAGATGTCTGCTTTTGCCACATCCCTTTGTTTTGAAATTCCTTATGATGGAAACCTGCAACTTGTCTTTGAAGTGAGTTGGCAAGTATTATATTGTTGAGAACAAGTGACTTTTTATTCTTCTATTTCATTTTCTTTATAATCTCTAAAAGTTTGGGGCTTTTTGATCACAGGGAATACCATTAACTACTTTTTATGGCTTCAGGAAGAATATCCATTACCCCCTATGTACAAGCAGGGTGTGTGCAAACACTTACCTATACCTGTATTTGTATTTTAGGCTCTGCTACAGCAAACCCACCCTGCTGTTGCAGGAAAACCAGAGCGTGCAGTCTTGCATTGACCTCTGCAGAATGATTCAGATGATTTAAACTACTTCCCTCATTCTCTCTGAACTAGAATTGTTATCTTTAAAGACTATATTTTAAATGTAGCTTTCACAAAAAAAGGAGCGGGCATATTCAGCTTCAGTGGATATTGTGCCAGTGACTGAAAAGCCTAATTAGAATGTGAGGGATATAAAAAGTTACCATGTGCCACACAAGAACACATGAATAATTATTATGGTAACAATAATATCATAAAAGTATTTAACTTTTTTTTTTTTTTTTGAGGGGGAGCACAAAAAAGCCCTGAGAAGAGCGACAAAAATACTCACAGTGCTTCAGTCACAGCTGAACCAAAAGCATCTGCAAGTGCCCTTCCCTTTAAGTGCATTTTCCAACATTCAGGAGTACCTAAGGGAAAGCTGCGTGACACGACTGAGAAGCTGAGCCTCCGACAGTTCATTAACTGGTGTCTGAGGAACCCAAGTGCAATTTCTTTGTGCTAATCTTTTATGCGTATCTCAATGAGGCTTCCCTGACAACCATCATCTCTTCCTGGCAGAAACATCTTGGCTTTTCTCAGCACCACTGCTCCACATGCACAGGCCTTGGAACAAGGGTTTGATCTGACTTTGTGTGCTGCTTTCTGGCTGTGTATGGCTCTGCCCACGTCACCTACTGAGATAATGATGTAGGACAACTAACACGCACAGAGCAAGGATTTAATGGTGCTCTATTGTTCGCTGAACTGTGATTGCCAGGGAGAGGCCAAGCCACCAGGGGCTGCCTCATCTGCTCATTGTTGCATGCTGAGAGCCTGCAGAGTTTTGCTGGGACTGTGAATGAGACCTGGCAAACTGTAGAGAAATTCCCTTTGATTTGACTGATGAAACACGAAAGTCATCTTCTTCCAAGAGGGAACATCTACAGCTTAAGTTGCTACCTATTAGTCAGCTTCTATTTTAACAACGTGAGTCTGCTGTGTCCTAACTCTAATTCAGTGTAAAGCTTGGTACTGATGTAATGGCTCCATCCATCAAGATTTCAACCATGTACTACTAATTTAAAAAGTGGCCACAAAATGAAGGTTTGAATACAGAACTTTCTGACTTTCAGCATCATTAAAGGGTTTTCTAGATGTCACCTAATTGTTTTTATAAAGAGAGTTAAATCCCTTTGTCCCCAGCATAATAAAAATAAAATAATTTCTTACCATTATCATCACCGGAGTCAGACTGGAAGGAGCTGAGGGACTGCACTTCAGAGTTGCTGCCTTTATTACTTCCTGCAAAACAGGTCACTTCTTCAGCGTCATCAACCCCTTTACCTTCGTTGACAGCAAAAACAAAGCAAAATGGTACTCTATAGGTATGCATATTTGCCTACTTGTACCACAGAGCCAACAGATTGCCTTCTCTTGTTATTGTCAGAATAAAAATATTTCCTCCAGATAGAGGAAATGAGCCACTGGCGATGAAGGCAGCTAATGACTTTTCAAGTGTTTGAAGCTTCTGAGCAGCTGACACCATTGCTATCAAGGAATAAACACCTGCAGTCAGTACTGCCTTTTGGACCCGGTGTAGTCTCAGTGGCAAGAAAACTGATGACTTTACAAATATGGTATAAACATCTTATACAAGAGATTACAGATACATTTATCTTTACTGTTCATTTCCCAATTTGAGAGTCACATTAGAGGCTCATACAAAGCCCAGTGAAGTTATTGGGCATCTTTACATCAACAGCCCTTGGATCCACCACTGATGTAGAGTGGATTTATGCATTTCATCACGGACATTCAGTCTTGTCAATTTGTCTACAGTTTAAGCATATAACTGCAGCCTGTGGTGTAAATTCTCATGTGATCAAACACACACATTCAAACATTCTGTAGTGATAATAAGGAAAACATATCATCCATAGCAAGAATTGAGATAGATGCCTTAGTTAATTATGAATGAACAAGCTCAGGTGCTGCAAGCAGTCAATCCACCTAAGTACAGCCCTCTATTTGCTATCTGTAGATATTTCTACCCAGCATGGGGCACCTGCGTATAGTAACAGCTGGTTTAGTCCTGCTGAGAAGCAGGGTACGGACTAGGTGGAGTAAGTGCTGCAGTAATGAAGCTGCACTGCTTCCCTCTCAGTGACAGCTGAGGCCCATCCCCATGGCATGACCTCATGCTGTGCAGAAATTCATGCAGATACCAGTGTCTGTGGTAAGAACACCCAAGGAATCACACAACACACGTGGTGGCTTACATGCTGATATTTTAAATCAGCAAGACTGTATTTAATGGTTAAAGGTCAACCACAATGCAACAGTGAAACACATCCCAAAGGAATAATAATTAATTCCTGTTTTTCACTAGAAGACCAATATGCTGCCTTAGCTGAAAACGTGCATGTCGGATGTGAGGCACTGTGGAGAGTTCATCTCCTTGTTGCTCTGTTTTTATGCCTAAAACAACAGTGCTAAAAAACTTCCTGGACTGTGTATTTTTGTTGATAGATCTGCTCAAAGTTGTGTTGCTGTGGGGTTGAACACCCAGTAGAAAATGTTGCCTAAAAGAGAAAGCATGACTAAGAAAGAAGCCCTGTGCTCTGCTAAAGCAAACATCTCAGTCCGTATGGAGCATTCTCAAGGATGGACAGCACAGGGCCTTAACTCTGGCTCAGCAAACTGGTGTTTTGCTATAAGAGAATACTTGAGGCTTGCTGTATCTCCAGCAACTCGTCCAGGAATGAAAATAGACACTATATTAAGCTGTTGAGAAACCATCAGAGTAGAAACAGCATGGCTGTGAGGATGAAAACATTTGTGATCACTCTGATACAGAATGCAGATGAGAATGCAATAAACTGGAAGGGTGATCCTCTAAGTGGGGCTTGATTTCAGCTTCATTTCATTGACACTGGAATTAGAGAATATATTGGTGAATATCTCCCTTGCAAAATAGAATTTCTTCTTGTAGAAAGTTTTAAAATGTTAACTCCCCTGGGAGACCAAACGCCCAGACTGAGTGGAGTTTGAGAATTCTGCCTCAATCTTTTCTTCCCCAATAGAAAGATGTCTGCATTGTATCACTTGAAGAACTTGAAGATCTGTGCTTTTCGAACAAGCAAAGAATGCGTTCGGTCACACTTAGTGCATGTAAGGAGATGTTTTGTGTGCCTAGTGTTAATCAAAATTTAAAATGCATTAGCCTTCAAGTTAGAGCATTAAGTATAGCCATGCCTGCTGCGGCCTGTGAGGAACCTATACCTATGGTAAGAAGAGAGGCAGCAGCATGCAGCACTTACTTTCCGTTCCAGCATCCCACGTGCTCTTCCTGATGGAGTCACAGTCGGAGCGGCAGGGAGACACTGCGGGCAAGTTGGGAGCCACGCTGCACACCACCACACCCCGCCTGGCTGTCAGGATCCGGGGGGACTCGGGATGAAATGTTGTCATCTCCTGGTGCTCCACGCCAAGCCCATCCACTATCTTGTCCAGGTTATTCCGCGAGTCACTCTGGAAGCATGGGGTGTAGGCCATCGGCCTCACAGGGACCTGTGGAGGCCCAACCTCCTGGTAGATGTTCCTGCTGTCTCCGCTGTTCCTGATGTTCTTGAACTGGATGCCATTGCTCTTGTTGAGCAGGGCGGCAGTGGCTGGATCCTGTACCAGCGTGATGTTATTGCGGGAATAGTTCTTCCGGAACACTTTCTTGCGGAAAATTATAAACAGGACGATCAACACAAATATGACAAACAGAACCACAGCTATTCCTATCAGCTCTTCCTTGCCGACATAGGAATGCCCTGCTTGTATATTGGGAACCACCACAGGGCGAAGACCACAGTACTGCCCCACGTAGCCAGGCGTGCAGTTGCACAGGAATGAACCAAATACGTTCACGCAGGAACCACCATTTTCACATTCTTCTCTTTCGCACTCATTGATGTCTTCTTCACACCTTAAAAGGAGAAAAGGAGAACACGGAGTTTGGAGATTGCAAACAGCCCAGCTTCCAGGTAATGACTTCTCAAAGTGGTACAACTACAACGAGCACCTTGCTGGTGCTTGGCCAATTATCATGTTATTATCATATTATTATCATATTAATTAATGGCATTTGATTATTTTTTTTTGCAGGTATTCCATAGCTTTTTAACATAATAAAATGAAAATGTCACGAAGGAAATAAAAGTTTAAAGCATTTCATAGGTAAAGGCTCTTTGATCCTAAGATGGCTCACAGAACAACAGAAGATCTGATCACTTTTATATCATTTTTGGACCAACACGTGGGATTCAATACAGTTACCAAGAGGATCCACAGAAAAAACAGAGCTGAAAATAAGTAATAAAAAATTCATAGGTTACTACTTTGAGAGAAAAGGGGAATACACTGAGTTTTAAAATAGACTTAAGGCTAGAGATAAAATGAATAAATATCAGAGAAGTGGGAAAAACATGATCACAGGAACCCTAAACAGAGAGAACGGGGAAGAAAAGGTGATAAAAAAAAAGCAAAACAAAACAAAAAGTGCAAACAGACAGGGGAAATTAGAAAAAAGCACAGGACAAGTTTCTATACCAAGTTTCTTATCAAGGTTTGAATTTTAAAACTGAATGCAATAAGTTAGGCTTTTAAGCTAGGCCTAAATAATTGATCCATTCTCAAAAAGAAAAGATTACAGATCAGCTTCCACAGGATTCATGGAATGACTCAGGTGTCCATATCTCAGCAAGATCACATCTTAGTGAGATCCATATTTCATTTGGAGATCACATCTGAAACAGTAGCTTCAGAGCTGGATTCAGAAAGCCTTATGGATTTCTCATCTTTCATTAGCTTGGACTTGATTCCAAGTGTCGGGTTGTTTTTTGCAAGGAGATCATAGAATTGTCTACGTTGGAAAAGACCTTCGAGATCATCAAGCCCAACCGCCAACCTGACCTACGGGGTCCCATCACTAAATCATGACCCTTAGCTGGATACAAAGCACCCAGTCAAAAAAATAAACTCCACCACTCAATTAAAATGCTTTGATTATCCATTTAGGAAAGTTTACTTACGTTACTCCAGTCAGACCATTTTTGCAGTTGCAGATGAAAGCATTGCCAATGGGATCGCATGAGCCTCCATTCCGGCATGGATTTGGGAAGCAGGCTGTGATCTCTGATTCACAATTTCTTCCAGTAAACTGTGAGAGGCAATTGCACTGGTAGCCTGGAAGGTGAAGGACACAAAGAAATACATCAGAAGCCATCCCCTGTTATCTAGAAGCAGGGGAATCTACTTGGCTAATTTACTACAAAAAATTTATTGTACTGTAGGGGAAAAGAGATGCTTATGCTCATTCTAGTGTGGTTCACACTAACTCCAGTGCAGCATTTGCTTATCTGGAATGTGGGGTGATTGGAGCTCATGTAATACAACCAGGGACCAGTGGAATCTCTGCAGCCCCAACTATTCCAATCACTGTGATTCCAATAAGAATAAATGCCCCCCGTGGACTTGGCTGCAGTAAATATTCCAGATCAGTGATGCATCTCCCTTTTTTTTTGAAAAGAAGGACCATATCTTCCAAAAGTGGCAGCCCACACATCAAAGATCAAATATATCAGCTGAGATCTTAATAGTAACACACTTGTCTATGATATTTAACTCTTTCATAAAGTGCATCATCCAGGCATGAACCATGGGCTTCGTAACACTAGCTGAACAGGGAACTGCCACCCCTAATCAGAGCTCATTGAATGCAGTTTCTGCTATTAGGAGACCCATTCTGGAGAAGAGGAGGCTCAGGGGAGACCTCATAGCACTCTACAACTTCCTGAAGGGAGGTTGTGGTGAAGAGGGATTTGGCCTCTTCTCCCAGGCAATGAGCAGGACACGGGGCAATGGCCACAAGTTGTATCAGAGGAGGTTTAGGTTGGACATAAGGAAGAACTTTTTCTCTCAGAGAGTGGTCAGGCACTGGAATGGCTGCCCAGGGAGGTGGTGGAGTCGCCGCCCCTGGCAGTGTTCAAGAGGCGTCTGGATGACGTGCTGCGTGATGTGGTTCAGTGCTTGTGGTGGCAATGGTGATGAGGAGACGGTTGGACTGGATGATCTTATAGGTCGTTTCCAACCTTGTGATTCTATGATTCTATGATTAATTACTAGCTGCAATAAATCAGCCAATACACCACTTAGGTAGGGGACTGAAGGGGACCAAAGTACTTCCATGCTCCTTGCCAGCAAAGGACAACATGAGTCAGAAACATTTCCTGAAACTCCCCCAGGTAGCAAATTACTATCTGTTTTATTCTCCTCTCCTTGTGATTTGCCATTAATAAATCCTTTATTTAAGGTCATAAAGAAATCCAGTGAGACAGTGCATGTCTTCATATTGTGTTAGAACTAAGTGTTGAAATCTGAGTCTTTTTTCACTTGAAAAGAACAAGGAACAACCACTTACAAAAACAAAATGTCCCAACAGATGTGTAGGCAAGATTCAAGCTCCACTTATGTGGTTCACATATCAAAGCAATGTACTAAATATGGCATCTTAATCAACTAGAACAAGGAATTTTCCTGCTGTTAATACAGTTGAAATCCATATATCTATACTTTTGAAATATATATATGTATATATATATACTTTTGTGTATATATATATACAGATATGTATGCATTTTAAAACACACTGTTCTACTAACTGAGGCAGGAAATTTCAAGCACATTTATGAGAAAAAGAATTTCACAGAGACAGTGCAGTGGTGGCATGAGGCAAAAGCAATTCTGCATTAGAACTGCCACGTCTTTCATGTTCTGTCTGGTTCATTTTGACTTGTTCAGTTACGCTAATTGAATTCTTTCATGAGAATTCATGAGAGTTCTTTGCTCTAGCAAAGAAACTTGGAAACAGACTTACTGGCTCATTCAGTCAAGATTTCAAACCCATCTAGCTGAAGATAAATAAAATAGATAATCAGATACCATGCTGTTTGGTTGTCCTACTACAAAAAGGGGGATAAAAGCACTGCTATTTTAAGGTTACAGACTTAAGAGATGATTGCACTGCAAGGGTTCCTAGAAAGCTTACTTGATCAGCACCAGCAAGACAGGATTATTTTGCTGTCTTACACATACTCACTCAGACAATACGAATGTATAAATGGCTTTTTAGACCTGTAGAGAGCTGGGACTGAAGAATTACAAAACAGCGACTGCACCAGGCATTTTGATGCCATTCCTACAAAATATTTATTGCTACTTGGTAAAACACCTGATCTAGAAATCCTTGAGGAAGAAATCACTGCATGAATAAGAGAGGCTGTTTCATTGCTCCATTTTATGACTGAACAGTGACATCTATGGTCGAAAAATTTACAGTAATGTTTTTGTGTACTTTTATGTTCTCATTGAGTGTAAGTGAAATGAAAATTTTCAAACATTTTATTCAGCAACATATATGTTGCTTTATAGAATAGCAGAATAGATCTGTTTTTCTAACTATCCAACAATTGGCATTTGAAAACTATATAGCTTCAAAATTATTTTAAAAACAAGCTTTCTGCACCTACGTTACTAACTGGCAATCACTGGAACACCAAAGTCTTCAAATAATTGTCTTTTCACGTCTTACATTTGTTTCAGCTGCACTGAGTTAAGCTCTGGATTGTTGCTGTGTAATACGTTCTGTTACATCTATTCACTGTAGACAGCCTGAGAAATATTGATTTGACTAAAAAAAATCCTTTTTCCACTAAATATAGAAGGAGGATGGGTTTATTCATCATTATTATTGACAGGTATTTATAATCAAGATGCACTAATTTCAATTAGCATTTTGTATCACGAGGAGCTAAAACCGAATACTCCAGATGGGTCCAAGGTCTGCTGGGTGATGTATGAACAAAACAAAAATGAGAAGTTACTTATGAAAGCCAACATTTTGGACTGAATTTGACTTAATGATGGTGGTGGAGTGACTGACCCTGTTTGTGTTCAAGGAACATTTAGACATTGTGTTGAGGGACCTGGTTTAGAGAGAACTACTGGGGATAGGTGGACGGTTGGACTAAATGATCTTGTAGGTCTTTTCCAACACTGCTGACTCTATGATTCTATGATTTTGGAACACAATCAGATACTGGGCAGATAAAATATTCAGTATAGTTTCTATAGTACAGTATTCAGTATAGTTTCTAAGTCTGGGGATCAAAGTTAATAATAAAAAAGGCAATGAAGTTAGGAATGAAAAAGGCAATAAAAGTCAGTGTTAAATTTCAGTATTTATCTCTGACTTCTCTTCCCATTAGAAGCACTGCCACACACCTTTTTACTCTAAGCCACTGGCAAAAGACACAGAACTTTCCTGTGACACACAATCAGAGCTGCAAAACATTCACTTGGGAGAACTCCAGCTCAGCAAAGCATATGTCAAAATTCATGGAGTAGAGCTGACACGAAGGCTCAGTTCACAGCATCTATCGACTAGGCCAGCAGATTTCCAGACCTTTCATTCCTTTCCAAACATCTCAGGAGAGGCTATAATGTCACCTGGTGCTGCACATTGTGGCCACATGGCTGTAGACAACGAGCATTCCTAAAGAAACCTTTTTGTTGGGGATGAATCCTAGGTCTAACAAAGAATTTTTATTACATATTTAATTTAATATCCAGGTAAAGTATCATGCATTTCTTCCCATCTGTTTAATGCAAGAGTAATATGCAAGATTTCCATGCCCAAAGATGAGTACAGGGGGCCAAGTGCCCCTGCCCTCTCAGGAGGAAAATTCCTCTTTCAAACTATCTAGGGCTGTTCCTGTTCACAATGAAGACAATGGAAGTCTTGGAAATTCTTCAACATTTAAGATCATACAGTCATCTGCATTCCCTTCAAGAGAGATGAATATTTCATTTTGCATATTGATCCTGAAAAATGTTGATACCAGTGCAGCAAATCTTGTGCTGTCACTGCTGTATGGCTTCAAAAGGAACCACTGGAAAAAGACAGGAAGGTATGATAAATACATCTGCAGCACTGTTGGGATAGGGCCAACGCACCCTTGGTTTGTGCCACAACAGTCTGTGCCAACAAAAGGAAGACACTGAGGCCCTGGAGCGTGTTCAGAGAAGGGCAGTGAAGCTGTGAAGGGTCTGGAGCACAAGTGTAATGGGGAGAGGCTGAGAAAACTGGGATTGTTCAGTCTGGAGAAGAGGAGGCTCAGCGGAGATCTTACCACTCTTTACAACTCCCAGACAGGAGGCTGTGGTGATGGGAGGTCAGTCTCTTCTCCCAGTTAACAGCACTGGCACAGGCTGCCTGGGGACGTAATGGGGTCCTTGGAGGTGTTCAAGAACCTGTGGCACTGAGGGACATGGTATCTCTGGAGGTCCCTTGCAACCCCTACTATTCTGTGATTCTGTGATGGTTTAGTGGGCAATACGGGTGGCAAGTGGATGGCTGGACTAAATGATTTTACAAGTCCTTTTCAACCTTAATGATTCTAGGATTCTAAGATTCTACGATTCTTTGAACAGCCGACTCTAAGGAACCATAAGCAATGAGCAATGACACTGCCCAGTTTGGCCATATGTATATTAACAAGCCCTAAGGAGCAATTGGCAGTGGGTTTGTGGAGAGAAATGGCACTGAGGACTCAACACCCTCAGTGCAAATGTTTCAGGGTTTTAGGATCAGGTTATCTGCACTCCTGATGTGTGCCTTCCAGCTCAACCCCACCCAAAGCAATTCTGGTTCTCTAAGGCCTCACCACTCACACTTACATAGACACGGCTCTCTAATGCCTATACACCATCTTGGGTGATCTGATAGTTTTACTAGGTTTCTCCCACGCTCTTTCACTCAATCCTCCTAAGCAGCTGTGCCATATTCTCTGACTCCAGAGGATGTCCTCATATCTTTTTGACTAGATTTGACTTGACTCCGGCTTGTCCTCTAGACTTCTTGGTTTGTTTCTGCTCAGTCATATAAAGTGACAAGAAGAGAAGGGCTTTTTCAGCCCAGACCTTACCAAAGAGCAACATGCTGAAATTGAGGACACTGCACAGGCTTCCTGTCTGTACCTATGTTTGCTTGGCACTTAATAGCAGTGACAGTGGCAAAAGACAGGCTCTGTGCCATCAGCAGATGGAATGCTGTTATGCAGTGAACATCCCTGTTGGTAGAATTCCCAGCCTGAGCACCTGAATGCCTATCTATCCTCAGGTTTACT